GCGCGGGAGCTCAGTGCCGGGCGCCAGAGGGACCTCCCAGAGGGGGCTGGGGACAGTCCATGCCTGCCTCAGCGTCACCCGGGGGCTCCGAAGAAATCACACCCACGTTGGCGGCCCCCGAGGGCAGTGCACTGGCTGCAGGGCCGAGCCCCGGGGCATGGCCCTCGCCGGCCCTGCTGGGGACAAAACAGCGAATGTGCAAACAAAAACAGTGAAGATGCAAATGGCGCAGCCTCTCCTCAGGAGCTGGGAGGCAGGGCAGCAGCGTGGACTCAGCAGGGGCTTCCGCAGGGCAGAGGTGGGCGGGGCCTCGCCCCCAGGCCCCCAGACCGGCAGGGGCGGCCCAGGGCGGGTCTCTGTGTCTGTCTGTAGCCCTCCCTGCAGGGGGAACTTGCCCCCTGGGGAGGTGTAGCCCCTGATGCGCTCCAGGCCCCTTCCTGCCCAGTCTGGGCGGAGACCAAGGTGGGCGGCCATGAAGGGCTCCCCGGGAGAGCGAGGGGCAGCGCAGGGTTTGGTCAGGGGGTCCGAGGTCCCCAGCGCCCCCGTCAGGGACACACCGCGGCCTCTGGGGCTTCGTGAGCACCAGGACCCTTGGCCATCGGCCCCCTGGGCGTTGCCCCCCTTGGGCCCCGGGGCGAGGCAGGGGCGGCGGAGGAGGGGGAGGGGCCGCTCTTCGCTCACACCCACTTCGGGTCAGGGAGGCTCTGCCACCGAAGGCAGAGTTCACAGCCACCCTCTGCGCGGCCTGGCCTGTCACTGTCCTCGGTCGAGGGCTGAGAGAGGGGAGGTGTGTGGATGCGCTGTGGGCCGTGCCCCGGCGACCCACCAGCTCTGGACGCCGGGGGAGGCCACAGCCGCTCCGGCCTCGGGGGCCTGAGCAGGAAGGGTTGGGCAGGCGGGGCGGACCCTCCCCCGCCCCCACTGCGTTCCCTGGAGCCGAGGCTGGCAGCTGGGTCAGGACCGCAGAGCCGGCGAGGGCACCTGGCCGCGAGTAATCTGCTGGTCCTGGCTGGGCTCCCTGAGGCCGGCGGTGCCCGCTGCGGACAAGGGCTCAGGGCAGGACCTTGGCCCCGTCCCACCTCCCAGCCACCCCTGGACAGGGCCGGTTGTTGGTAGCAGCTCCAGCCCACGATGGCCGTCCTCCCCACCCCAGGGCTTCAGCGCCAGGCCCAGTTGCCCGGCAGGCACGTCCACTGGGGGTGTCTGCAGGGAGGAAGACGCTCTGTCAGGGACTCATGGGCCCTCCTGCCCGGGGCCTCTTGGGCCAGGGCAACAGGGAGGGATGGGGACCTCCCTCCAAGGGCTTCCGAGGCCTCTGCAGACGCGCCGCCCCTGCCGGCTCCTCAACAGCCGACCTCAGGACGCGGGGCCCAGGCGCTGCCCAGCGGGCGACGCACCGCTCCCTGCCCAGCGGCGGGGTCCCCCTGGAGTCACTCTTCGCTGCCCACCAGCACCTTCCTGCCTGGGACTTTGTCCTGCCAGACTCGCTGCCTCACCGTGACCCAGGCCTGTGCACGCGTGCCTGTGACCTGTACCCTCCAGGGCGCAGGAGTAGCATCAATGGGCGGATTTTCCTGGATTAACTTTCTAATAAGGGAGCCACATGCACACCATGACAGCCATCTAACCTGGGAAGGGGCCGCCTTGCACGGGGGTGAGCTCCCCATCAGTGGAGGCGTGCAAACCGAGGCCACGTGCTCGTTAGCAACACAGGCTTGGGCACATTAATTACGTGTCTGGCACAGAAAGTGACCAATAAACATTTGTTCCACACACACCCACCCGGCTTCCTCCACACCAGCTGTGTGTTCATCTCAGACAAGTTCGGGATTTTGTACGGAAAGCTGGGCCACCTGGGCCCCCCTAATCCAGGGCAGGCCGGACCCCCCCGCAGCCCCGGGGAGCACGGTGTCTGCAGCAGGCTCCTGGGGCTGTGCCCCCGGCAGCTGCGGAGGAGGGGTCTTGGGGTCTGGAGGGCAGCTGGCACCTGTAGGGAGGATAGGCGTCTTCCTGTCCCCGGCTCTGCCCATGGCGGGGCGGCCCCAGAGCCCTTCCCGCATCTGGACGCTCTGGCTAGGGCAACGAACAGGTGAGATGAGTCGGGGGCCCGTGTCCTCGGGGAGCCAGCCGCAGCACTGGGGAGCGGTCGGGAGACGTGCCCAAGCACAGGGCACCCCGCTGGCTGGACCTTCCCGCTGCCACGGGGCAGGCGCAGGTCTTCCCCTTGTGGAGGGTGCCAGATGCGTCCTCACACCCACCCCACCGAGGGGACTCGGGGGTCGCGCCCAGGAAGGACTTGGTGAGCGGCCCACGCCTATCCTTGGTTGGGTCTTCATTTCTTGAACACGTGTATCGCGCGTCGGCCAGACGCCAGGCACGGGGGCTGCGGCCAGGGGGCGGCCCTGCTCCCCTGCGGTCGGGGGGTGCGGGACCTGCGAGCCGCGGGGCCCTGTCCCCTTGCTCCGTCCCCTGCCGGGAGCTCCGCTCGAGGCTTTGCACGAGGCCCCTGCCCTCCGTCCTGGCGCCACCAGACTCTCGCCTGCATCCGAACCCCTGGAGAGTGTGCGAGAACCCAGGCTGCGCGCCCAGCACCGTGCTGCTCCAGCAGGTCTGGGCTGGGGACAGAGAATGTGCCTTTCAAACCAGTTCCCGCGGAGAGTGACCCTGGGCCTCACGTTGAGGGCCGCCGACGTGGTGGCCGTAGAAGCCTCGCCCCTGCGGCAGCGCCGTGGGCGCGCTCAGGCCCGGGCGGCGCCCAGCGCCGCTTCCCGCGGGGAAGACGGGGGCCAGAGGCCCCGCCGTGTCCGTCCTTCCCGCGGTCTCCGCTGTGCCACCCAGGTTCCGTTTTTCAGCGGCTCCGACGGCGCCTGAATGGGAACTTGGGGAGGGCACGGTGGTGGCTGCGTGGCCGGCTCCCTGGTTCCTGAGTACCTACGACGATGCCTGGCACGCAGCAGGTGCTCAGCCAGTGTTGTTAAACGAGTGAGCATGGGGTCCCCAACCCCTCGCTCGGGGGCACTTCCCCTCAGCTGCCTTCGCCTGCCCCCGGAGCAGGACCCAGAGCCCCTCGGCTGGGAGCCCGGCGCGCGGAGGGCGGCATGGGGATCGCGGGGACCCAGCGTCCTGACCCCGCGCGTCTCGTGGTGCTGGCTGCAGGCCAGAGGCACGTCCCCGTCCAGGCCTACACGCTGGCCGGGCACAGGCTGGCCCAGAATTTGCCCCTCGGTGCCCCCAGCAGCCGCCTGCCTCTCTGTAGAGGGAGATAATAATGGAGCCTCCCCCCTCAGCGCCAGGGCACAGCTGCGCCAGCCCCTGTCCCACCCGGTGCCGCCTCTCGTCACCAACGCCGGGGAAATTCCAAGGTAGAGGGATGGGGAATTCCTGGGATCTGGCAGATACTCCCAAGGGCAGGAGCCTTCGCATCCTCCCGAGGCTTGGCCCGGCGGGAGGGGCCTTCCCAGACGCAGAAGCTGGACGGGAGCGAGCGTGGGGACCTTAGCACAGCCTGTAACTCGTCACTGAGCGTCTGCCTCCCCCTAGTGGCCTCTGACGCCCGGCTGTCCCCACAGACCCAGGGAGACCCAGGGCCTGCCCCGCAGAGCCCGCCAAGCACCTGTGCCGCCCGACACACTGTGGCAGGGACTTCTTCACAGGTGCAAGGAAGGACCAGCGGGGGCAGGTCCCCAGCGCCCGAGCTCAGGGCTGCGCTGGGTGGCACATGCCCGGCGGGGGCGCCGAGGGCCAGTTCTAGCCTCTCACGAGCAGCAGAGAGTCCCGTCTTGGACTTGCACCTGGAGCTCCACGAAAGCTAAGCCAAGGTCCGCGCCCCCACGCAGGTATCCTGCACTGCCCGCCGCGCCACGGGGTCGGCCCGGGCCCGTCCCTCCCCGGGGCAGCCAAGGCCACCAGAGCCGCCCGCTCCCCGCGACGCGTCCCTGTAGGGGCGCGGCCTCTGCACCCCGCTCCAGCCGCCGCGGCCTCTTTCCCGCTGAGCAGCGTCGGACTCCCTCCAGCCTTCAGGATGCCTGGCCCCTTCCTGCCCCTGTGCCGCTGACCGGCCCCAAGCGCCCACGCTCTCTCCTTCCGCTCCCGCATCCCGGCGCCGCCGGCGCCCTTGCGGTCGGTCAGGCCCAGCCCCTTCCGTGGCCGCTCGAGCCTTTGCAGGTGCCTTGCCTTCTGCCCAGGGAGCCTGTTGTCTGCCTGGAAAACTCGCCTGCCATTTTTCAGGATCTGTTCAAAAGTCACCTTGCCTGGGAGGCCTTCCAGAACCTTCCAGGCTCCCAGGCTCACCGGCGTCTGGCCTCGCACCCCTCAGGGTGCCCAGCAGGCTGCACTGAGATGGCTTTCTCACAGGGTTGTCTCCCCCCGGACCGGACGCCCCTGGCTGCGGAAGCCTTGCCTACCTTTGTGCTCCGAGCCTAGAGCAGAGCAGGGGCTGGGAGCCGCTCGCTCCTGCTGACGGCCGTCCGCCTGGGGCCTGGGGCCTGGGGCCTGGGGCCTGGGGCGGTGTTGGATTGTCGCTAGTTCCGAGGCCATCGGTGTGGCCAGGAGGCCGGCAGATGGACACACGCTGTCTGTGAACAGTGTCAGGTTAAAGGGCTCTGGACTCGGACCACGTGCCCGCCTCGCTCTGCAGCCTCTCGTCTCTAATCTGAAGAACGGCAGTATCGTCATTTACCCCGTGGGGCTGCCGAGGGGTCCTGGGGAAGCCGGCCGAGCGCCAGGGCCTCCTCGGTGCTTGGTGAGCGGCAGGAGGTCCGTGGCGGCTGTGTTAGGACTCCCTGCGGAGGGGGGGGGCCGCAGGTCCCCTCGGGCTCGGCGGTTAGAGAGGGCACGCAGGGCTGACGTGCGGTTGCCCTGTGGGCTGAGCAGCACTGTCCTGGAGCGCAGGGTGGCAAGAGGCCAGCAGAGGGCCCTGCCCAGCCTGAGGCCGGCCGGTGGGAGGGAGCGGCTCAAGGGCACTGGAGCGGCGGGCGATGCCAGACGCCTGACTGGGGGCGGACCGAGCGGCCAGCTGCCTCTCTCGGTCCCCGGCGCTGGGTCCCCGGCCCTCGCCGGCGCTCGCTCCGCGGGGCAGCCGCCTCCTGCTCGTCTGGCCATGCGGTGGCTGTGGCCGCTGGCCATTGCTCTCACCGCGGTGTCGGCCACGGGGCCGAGCAGTGTCCAAGCCGGGGTCCCGGAGCCGATGGGCCGGCCCAGGAGAGGCACTGAGGAGGAGGAGGCCAAGGGGGTGCAGCGGTACGTGCCGGAGGAGTGGGCTGAGTTCCCCCGGCCCATCCGCCCGGCCGGCCTGCAGCCCACCGGGCCCTCGGCGGCCACCAGCCCCACCCCAGGCAGCGATGGGGCCCTCAGCCGGGGGCTGGGGCCGCGGGGCACCCTGGCGGGGGCGCCGGGCCAAAGGCTGCGGATGCAGAACCCCCTGTACCCGGTGACCGAGCGCTCCTACGGCGCCTACGCGGTCATGCTCCTGGCGCTGGCGGTGTTTGCCGTGGGCATCGTGGGCAACCTGGCTGTCATGTGTGTCGTGTGGCACAGCTACCACCTGAAGAGCGCCTGGAACGCCATCCTGGCCAGCCTGGCCCTCTGGGACTTCCTGGTGCTCTTCTTCTGCCTGCCCATCGTCGTCTTCAACGAGCTCACCAAGCAGCGGCTGTTGGGGGACGTCTCGTGCCGGGCGGTGCCCTTCCTGGAGGTGAGTGGCCCCCGGGGTCGCGGCTGCCGGCGCCGGAGGTGGGCGGCGTGGGCACCGGCCCTGGGGCTCGGCCTTGCAGCTGCCCCTGCAAACTGGGCACGCGGACCCACAGGGAAGGGAGCCCGGGGGCGCGGGGCCCGCTCCGGCCCCGCCCGGTGTCCGCTGCGGGGCCGCTCCAGCCGGTGTCCTTCCCCCCACCCCCCGGGACACCCCGTCCTTCGGATGCCCTCCTCTCCCTTGTGCCCACTCCCGCCGCCCCAGCTTTGCCCCGACACCCTGCCTCCAGACGCGGTGTCGGAAGGGAGACCCCCCACGTCCTGCCGACCCCCCAGAGCCAGCCACGCCCCTCCTCCCATGAGTGCAAACACCGGAGGGGAGGACCCGTCCCACTGCCACCTCGCCCCAGCGCCGGCAGCCTCCTCAGTCCTTTCTGGGAGGGGAGGCTGGGCTCTGCATCGCAACCCGCGCCAGCTCTGCCACCGACACAGGCGTGGGCACATCACAGTCGCATGCTCCCGCATCCCCGACTCCCGCCCGGGGCGTGGCCCCGACGGCTCTTCCCGCAGGCTGGCCGGGTCCTTAAGCCTCCCTCCGTCCTCCCCGCGGGACCTCCACGTTAACGTGAGCCCACGGGTGCTGTGGGGTTCATCGGAACATTGCAAAACTGTTCCGCACCGGCATTTAGGCGGGACCCAGCGAGGATCCCGGTCTGCACAGGATCAGAAATGCGCAAGCAGGCTTTCAGATTGTGGGTTTGTGGGGCGTCGCCGAGGACAGGCGTGAACAGGCACCGCGGAGGCCGAGGGCCGCGTGTGACGCAGTGTCCTGCCCAGGTGTGTGGAGGCCGGGGCCTGGCATCAAGCGCAGCGGCTGTTCCCAGCTCCGTCCCTAGTCCCTGCACCTCAGCCACGGCCTCGTGGTTGGAGACATTTCCTGCGGCTGAGCTGCCGGCCGGGCCCTTCCCGGTCCTTCCTGGCCCAGGGAGACCCCAGGTGGGCCCTGCGGGCGCCAGCCGGAAAGGAGACCCTGCACTGGGGGCCTCCAAACCCCAGTGACGGGCAAGCTCAGCGCCCGGGCCAGCACGGCCCAGCAGGGAGGGGCCCGATGGAACTTCGGAACCGAGCAGACGCGGTTAGAGAGCAGGCCCGGCCCCTCCCGCACTGAGTGGCCTGTGAGTTACTTATCCCGCTCCAGCCTCAGCGTCCTGGTCTGTACAGTGGGGGCGGTACTGAGAGCAACGCCCTGAACGCCTTCCTGAAGGACTGAGTGGCATGAACAGGACTCCGGAGACGAGGCTGTTCCCCGGAGGGGTCGACGGGGGCGGGGAGGTGCGCACCGGGCCAGCCGCCGGTCCTCCTCGGCCCCCTCCCCCCCCAGGACAGGTCATGCAGGAGCGGGCAGAGCCCTCCTGCTGGGCTGGGTGACAGGGACCACCCCCAAGGCGGCTGAACCCTCCTGTGGGAGGGGGGTCTCCACGAGACACAGGGGGCGCGGGCGAAGGCCGGTGGCGCGGCTCCTGCCCGAGGCCGCTCCTGCGGAGGCTGGGGCGGCTGCCTCCCTGGAGCCCGGGCCACGAGACTAGCGGGGGGCGTGTTCCCAGGCCGGGAGCGAGCGCAGCCCCTGTGTGGTCCGCATCCGCCCCTTTCTTCCCTCTGGCACCTTCTCCCCGGCCGCCCTGGTGTCTTCCTCTTGGCTCAGGGGGCGAAGTTCCTGTGGGCTCAGTGGGCCGCCCACGGGGGGGGCGCGGACATGAGCTCTCGGCCCCACACGGCCGAGCCCGGGCTTCCCCGGACACGGCGAGAGCAAGCGTGGGAGTGAGTGTGCGTGGGTGCGTGTTCGTGGGTGAGAGCGTGAGCATGTGAGTGCGAGTGTGCGTGAGTGAGCACGTATGTGTGCGGGGGCGTGAGTGTGCAAGCCGTGCCCCCCAGACCACGCCCCTGCACACCACAGGGGGCGGGGATCGCAGGGCCTGCAGGGACCAGAGCTTCTGAGCCGTGGTGTGAACTCGCCCTTGATGACGCTTTCCAAGTCTCGGGCGCACGAGGGTCCGAGAGGCCCCCACGTCCCGCCCCCCACCCCCGCCGGAGGCGCCAGGCCGCCTGTGCTTGGACCTCAGCTCTGCACCCGCCGGTCGCCTTTCCTGCCTGAGTGAGCGCAGTCTCTTCTGATGGTGGCGGGTGAGGTCTGACGACGTGGGGAAGGCGCCTGGCGTGGGCAAAACGCCCCACGCCCGTGGCCCACACGGCTGCCGCTCCACACGCAGCCCCCGCCTGACCGCGGCCCCTCCGCTCTCTTCCGTCTCTGCCCAGGTCTGCTCTCTGGGCGTCACCACCTTCAGCCTCTGCGCCCTGGGCATCGACCGCTTCCACGTGGCCACCAGCACGCTGCCCAAGCTGCGGCCCACGGAGCGGTGCCGGTCCATCCTGGCCAAGCTGGCCGTCATCTGGGTGGGCTCGGTGACACTGGCCGCGCCCGAGCTGCTGCTGTGGCAGCTGGTGCAAGAGCCGGCACCCGCCGCGGGCACCGTGGACTCGTGCGTCATGAAGCCCTCGGCCAGCCTGCCCGAGTCCCTCTACTCGCTGGTCATGACCTACCAGAACGCCCGCATGTGGTGGTACTTCGGCTGCTACTTCTGCCTGCCCGTGCTCTTCACGGTCACCTGCCAGCTGGTGACGTGGCGCGTGCGGGGCCCGCCGGGGAGGAAGCCGGAGCACCGGGCGGGCCGGCACGAGCCGTGCGAGCGGCAGCTGAACGGCACGGTGGTGGGCCTGACCGCCGTCTACGCCCTGTGCACGCTGCCGGAGAACGTCTGCAACGTCGTGCTGGCCTACCTGTCCGCCCAGCTGACCCGCCACGCCCTGGGCCTGCTGGGCCTCGTCGCCCAGTTCTCTGCCTTCTTCAAGGGCGCCGCCACGCCGGTGCTGCTGCTGTGCGTCTCCCGGCCGCTGGGCCGGGCCTTCCTGGACTGCTGCTGCTGCTGCTGCGAGGCCTGCGGCGGGGCCTCGGAGGCCGCGGCCGCCCCCGGCCCGGACGGCAGGCCCAGGACGGAGATGTCCGCTTCCGTCCACTTCCACAAGCCCAGGGAGTCGCCCCCGCTCCTGCCCCTGGGCACACCCTGCTGAGGCCCGGCCCCCGGGCGGGGCGGGGGGTAGGAGGGCCGCTGTCGGGGGCCTGGGTCTCCATCCCCGCGGGGCCCGCCTTTCAGCCCGTCCTGCTGAGGTTCAGGTGCGCCCCCCGCCGGCCCCCAGCGGGGCTTCCTGCCCTCCCCACGGGCGCACGCGCGGCGACGCTGGTGGGCCCTTCGGACTGCCCTCCCGGAAGCGCCGGCCCCCGCCAGGCCCGTTCGGCCGGTCCCTGCCGCTCCCCTCGGTCTTGGCGTGTCATGCTCCCCCCGCCCCCTCGCAGCCCCTCGCCCGCCCCGTCGGGGACGGGGACCAGCCGCACGCGGCTCCACCCTGGACCTGCTCCGCCCCAGCCTGGACCTTCCTCCTCCTGGCACCGCCTCTTCTTCCAGGAGCTTCTCTTCCCGTCCTCCTCCTGGGACCCGGACCCCGGGTCGCCCCGTCCCCGCACCCCCGGTTAGGTGCACCCCGTAGCGGCTTTCCATGGAAAACAATAAACTAGGTAGGACCAGCCGCGTGCCTGCTGGGCTTCCTTGTGCCACGCCCTGGCGTGCCCGCTCACACCTGGGCCTGCCCAGGGCGGCCCGTGCAGGGCGCTCCTGCCGACTTTGGCCCTTCCCAGCCTGTGGCTGAGGCCCCGCCGGCCCTGGGGCCCGGCGGCTTCAGGGGGGCCGCATGGGTACAGGGCACTCAGTCCTCCTCATCCGAGGGCGGCTGTCGCCGGCAAGTCAGAGGGCCGCCAGCTTCTGCCCTCGCTCCCCGCCCCACACGGCTCCACTCGGGGGGCACCCGCAGCTGGCCCCCGGGAGCCCCGGCTTCCAGCCTTGCCTCTGAGAGCCCCCTTGTTGTCGCTGAGGACGACTGTGCTGCAGCTGCCGGCCCCCCCGCCCCTGCCGCCTCCATCCCAGGCCCCGCAGCTCCTCCGGCCGCTGTTGCCCCGGGCGTCCCACCTCCTCGTGGACCTTGGCCCTGTTTGGGCCCAGAGAACTGGCACGAGGGACTCCAGAAGGGACGCTCCGCCCGGGCCCCCAACTGCCGCCGGCCCCAGACGCCGGGCTGCCTTCGGGGCCACCGGCGGGCTCCGAGCACAGTGCCGGGGCCCCCTGGCGAGTCTGCCCGCGAGGCTCACCGAGAACGTCTGTTGGGGTCTCAGAGGGTCCCCAGGGGACCCTGGGCCCCTTCCTCGGGGCCTGCCCCTCCCACAGCCCTTGGCCTCGGCCTGCCCTGGACCCAAGCCTCCTCCCTGCCCTCCCGGATCTTAGCGGCCTTGTTCTCGCTCCCTGGCACCCACCCCCGGCCAGTGACGCGGCCGGGGGGAGGGAGGCTGTTGCTAGGTGATGGCTGCCTGGCACACACGCTGTGTTGGGAGGACACCCACCCATCGCTTGGCGGACCTGTTGCCACAGTGACCGAAGCCCCAGCTGTGTCTGTCGAAACTCAGGATGGGGGGGCAGGTTGGACAAGGGGCAAAGCCAGGCCTGCGTTTCCTCCACATCCCCTCCCCCATCCTGTCCTTGCTGCCCAATGACAGGGGAGGGGGGCCGGGGTGACCCGAGGTGAAGTCTGGGGGCTGGACAGGGCGGAGGGTGAAAGGCGGGGGCCGAGCGGGGGGGACCCCTCAGCATCCTGTTTGGGGGGTTCTTCCACAAAAGGCACCCCAGCCTCTCCCTCGTGCTGGCTGGCCAGCTCAGTGTGGGGAGGGGGTGGGGGGCTCGGAGGCCCGGCCGCCACCGGCGCTGCCCCTGCCAGTGCGGGCGCCTGCAGAATCAGCCAGCAGGCCAGCTGGGCCTTGGGAAAGAGCCACCGTCCCTCCCGCCTGGACCCGCCGGGAACAATGTGGCGTTTGTTGCTCAGGGGTCCAGGGCCTGGCAGGGGTGGGCGGCAGACTTGAGCCGGGCGCTGACCCTCACTCTCCGCAGGGCGGGCTCCGTGAGGGCCGCCTCCGACCTGGTGTCGGGCGGGGGAGCCCCCACAGCTCACCGTGGGGGACCGTGCGCTTCGCGGTGACGATCGCCTCGCTTCAGCCTGCCGGGCACGGCCACTGAAAGTCCCGGCACGGCCCTGCCGTCCAAGGGGAAAGGAGGCCTCCCTCCCCAGGACTGGGCGCCGAGGGGGCAAGAGCAGGCGAAGCTGGGGGGACACCGGTGCCTCCCTCCCCTTGGAGGATCCCGTTCTGCCGCACAGACCTGGCCTGGCCCAGGCCGCTCCCCCGGGTCGGGGCGGTGACACAGGAACACCCCGAAGCGGCCGCTGACGCTGCGTGTCCCTTCCTGTCCGGCTTCGAGCGCTGTACGTGGCCCCCTCCGCCGCGTGTCTTGTCCACGTCTCCCCTCACCCCCTCCCTCCCTGGCCAGGCCTGTTGCGGGGGAGGGCAGGGGGCCGCCTGACCCCCACTTCAACCTCCTCACCGGGTCGGGGGCTTCCTGAAGTCACTGAGCTGTGCACCAAATTCTACCCACATCTTCCCCGAGCTCCCCTGGCAGGGAATGTGCTCTGTGTCCCCGAGGAAGCCCTGGGCGCCAGGGAGGGCGCGCGCTGGGGACGGTGCTGGGAGCCACCAGGGCCGCCCAGGCCCGGCCCCACCTGGAGGGAAGCTCGGCTCAGCCTCCCTGCGGGGGGCGGGGGGCAGGTGCAGGGTCTCCCTGCCGGGGCAGGTGCAGGGACCGGTGTTCTGCAGATGCACCGGCTCCATTTCCAGGGTGAAGGGGAGGCTGGTGCGGGGGGTGGAGCTGGGGAGGCGGGGCTTCCTGTGAAACTGGGTCAAGATGGCCCCGGATTTGGGAGAGCAGGGCCCAGAGCTGTGAGCAGCGAGCAGGGGTACAGGGGTGTTGGCGGGCGGGAAGGCGGCTGGAAGCAGGCAGAGGGCGAGGGCACAGCCCCTCCCTGGAAACCAGCGGCCGAGAAGGGAGGGCCCCGGGCTGTGCCCTGAGGACGGTGAGCTGGCTCCAGGTGGGCCGTGGGGACAGAGCACCGGCTCTGGCCCAACTAGGTCCTGGTCTGGCTGTAAGGGGCCGGGCCCCGCCTCCAGCCACGAGGTCCTCCCACCAGCGGCTCCTGGCGGCTATAAACTCCCAGCTGGGACCACGATGCCCCATGGGAGGCAGCGGAGGCGAAAGAGGGCCTGGCCCGCGCCCAGGGGCCCTGTGAGGTGCCACTGTGAGCCCCGCGAGCGTGTGGCCCCTTCTCCGCGGCCGACGGCGCCCGTGGGTGGGGCGGGGGGGCGGCCGGCCCCCGGACCCGTCCTGCCGTCTACGCAGGGAGAGCTCGCACCACACACCCCCAGCACAAAATTGCTAATTTATTCATGTTGTTGTTAGGAGGCAAAAAAATGTACAGTTACAAGAATCGTTTTCCAAACAGAGGTTAAATATGAGCTGAAAAGTATAAAAAAAGAAAGAGGACCATCACTTTACAAATCATTAAATTAAATAAACAAACAAACAAAACCCAAAGAGCCAACCCCCAGGCTGGGTTCTGTCCTTGTGCGACTCTGCGAAGTGGAAACAGAGACGGAGGCGCCGCGGGTGGGGCCGGGCTCCTGCCCCCGGGCCCGCTGGTCCGGGCGGCTGGCTGCGCTGGGCCCCAGAGGGCTGGGCGCAGGGACAGGCACCTCCCAGGACTCGGGCAGCCTGAGACACGCAGGAGGGACAGCCAGCCCGGGACGTGGGCCGCACAGGCCACGGGGCGGCCACCGGTGCCCGGGCCGCGCCCCCGCGCGGGCCCGCCCGCAGTCCCCCGCCCCCCGCCAGGCCGCCCTCCCAGACCCCGACTGGCCCCTGCAGTGTCGAATGGTGGATTTTAGTCTTTGCTTAAATTAAAAAATTAAAATATATATACATATATATACTGTACACACAGGACAATAACAGAAGTGTTGAAAAGGGCAGGCCAGGAGTGGGACGGGGCCGGGGCGGGGGGCGGGGGGCGGGGGGCGGGGCGGGGGCTGCTGAGAGGGGAGGACCCCCGGCAGGGGAGGGGCCCAGGGCAGGGGACGGGCAGGCGGGATGTTAGGGGACCGGAGGGGAGCGACTTATTTTACAATAAAAACAGGAGTTCAAACCTCAGCAGAACAGGGTTCTAGGATGCCCAGAGGGCCCCTCCCCACACCAGTGACGAGGGGGGTCTCGGGGGACGGGGCAGGTAGGCGGGAGCTCGGCTTCAGGTCCGGAGGGTGGGCTGCTGGTCCGAGGCGCGGGGCCGCGTTCTCAGCTTCTCCGCGACTTCGAGTGTTGAATAAGCCACTGTAGGGTGATGTCTGGGTGGGGACAAGGGAACGGTGACCGGGCTTCCAGTGCGGGGCTCCTGGGCGGGCGGGCGGCGGGCGTCCTCAGACCCAGGCGATCGAGGCGGGGCGGCCAGGCCCAGGGCGGGGCCACACAGGGGGATGGGGCCTCCCCCAAGAACCACCGCCCTGGGGCTGGGAGGGGAAGGGGGGACTTTGGGGGCCACAGACCAAACGGCCCACGAGGGCCTCTCCCCGCCTCCCCCGCCCTATGGCCCGGGACGCGCGCCGCCCCCAAACCCACGCACCAATGTTGTCCTTTTCTTTGCACGAGATGGAATAGCAGCAGATCTCGCGGTCCTGGATGGCAGATAGATTCCTGCAGGGGAACCAGAGAGGAGTCTGCCGGGCCGGGCGGGGCCCAGCGGGGCGAGGTCCGGGCAGGTGGGCTCTGCCGCCCCCGTGTGGCCGGCGCTGGGAGCGGCAGCGCGCCGCCGCGCCGCCGGCGCCCGGGGCTTGGGGTCAGGGAGGCAGCGAGAAGTCCCCAGACTCACATTTTCTCAATCAGCTCCTTCTCATCCAGCGCTCCCGGGAGGTCTCGCTTGTTTCCCAAGACTAAGACCTGCAGAGAAGGAGCAGGGCCCGGTTCAGGGCGTCTGCCCGCCCCTGCCTGTGCCGGCGGCGCGGCCCGCGCACGCTGCCGGGGCGCCCCGCCCCCCACCCCGCGGGCGCTGACCGGGATCCCCTGCAGCTGCGGCTTTTCCAGCAGGTTGTGCAGCTCGTTCTTGGAGGCCTCGATCTTCTCCTGGTCAGCGGCGTCCACCATGTACCTGGAGCAGACAGGGCGGGACAGCGAGTGACGCCCCAGGGAGCGGGAGGTACAGGGGCTGCGTCTGGTGGAGCAGGAGGGTTTCCTGGGGGGCGGTGGCGGGGGAGCCTGCAGGAGCTCTGGGCCTCGGGGTCCGTCTTCCTACGTCCCCACTAGGGCAGGGCTTGGGCCTTCGGGACCAGCCGGGAGCCCCCCGCCCCCCCGAAAAGCAACCCTTTGAGGCCTTCACGGGGAGACCGCGTCAGGTGGGGAGCGAGGCGGAGGCAGGCCCAGGGCCTCCTGCGGAGAGAACTCTAAAAAGCCAGGCCACAAACAGTGGGGGCTGGACTTCGGTTTGGGCGTCTCCACGCAGGGGGAGGTTGTTTTTAAAAAGCCAGGGGTGAACCCCTTAAATGACACAAAACTCAGGCCGGAGGTGACTGCGGGGCGGGGGGGCGCGGGGAGGCAGCTGGCAGGGCGCGGGCGGCCGGCCGTGCACAGGTTACCACGAATCAGGACCGGGAGGCGCAGCCGCGAGCCTCGGGCACTCACACGATGGCGCTCACGCCGCGGCAGTAGCGCTCCCACATGCTGCGGAAACGGGGCTGCCCCCCGATGTCCCAGAGCTGGGCGAGAAGAGGCGCAGCGGTCTCAGCGGCAGGCAGGCACCCGGACCGCTCCCTCCGGGGCGCCCCCCCCCCCCCGCCCCATGCCCGCTCCCCCCTGCGGGCTCCACTCCCATCCCCCGCTCGCCCCTCCCTCACGCTACCTTGATGGTCACGTTCCCCTTTGTGATCTTGCGCATGTTGAACCCCACCGTGGGGATCATGTCCTCGTTGAACTGTCCTGACTGGAGGGAGACGGGGCAGTTGGAAAAAGGGGCAAGTCAACCAGACCCGCGAGCTCCTAGCAGGTGGCCACCGGGCTGCCTGAGGGGTGGGGGGGTGACACAGAGCCCCCCGCGGTCACAGGGACCAGCTCGGGGGCATCCGCAGGCACCCCCCCCCCGGAGGTTGCCCGTGGCGCCGAGGCCCCTGAGCCTCTCTACGCAGACAAAGGCCAGGCTCCTGCAGAGGCTGGGCCGGCTCCCTGTGGGGACAGGCACCTGCCCTGAGCAGTCGGGGTCTGCAGGGCAGCCCCCCGAGGTGCGACGCACACCCAGCACTTCGTGGGTTCTCCCTGGTCTTGGCACCTGCGCCGCGCCTGTGAGTGCGGGCCACCCGCGCTCTGTGCGACCTGTTCACGGCGTGCGACCCCCCAGCCCCTTCAGGACGCGGCCGCGCCCGCGTTCACGACGTCAGTAAACGCTGCTGGACGGCGAGGCCTTGACTGCGACTCTCCTCCGCAGAACCCATTTCCAAGTCTAGCCATTTCCATCTCCCCTTGAAATCGCCCCTGAGATCTCTAGGCTGTTCCAAGGTTGCCAGAGGCCCCGCCTAAGGACGGACCGACCCCCCTCAGGGTCACGGCCGCGCCACACGGAGGACGCCGGCTGGCGCCCACGCGGCCTGGTCCCCGAGGGTGGCACCCCACCCTCTCCTGCCGGGTGGCAGGAATAGCGCGCCTCGGGCCCCACGGGCAGGTCGGGGCTCTGACCACCAGCGAGGCGTGCGGGGCTGTCCCAGCCGCGGCCTGCGGGCCACAGGCCGCCCAGGACGGCGGCCCATGCGGCCCCACACAAATCGTAGGTTTATGTAACACATGATGAGATGTTTTTGTGGTTACGTGTCACAATGTATTCCATGTGTGACCCAAGACAACTCTACTTCTTCCTGCGTGGCCCAGACGCCAAAAGGCTGGGCACCCCTGGTAGGAGGTGATGCGTCTTCTTCAGAGCCCGTGCGCCTGCCCCCCAGGGCCCCCTGACCGAGAGGCCCCGGGTCCCCACTGGTCTGCGGGAATCCCCGCCTCGCCCAGGCCCCCGGATGTGCGGACCGAGCCCAGGACTCCCGTCACAGGCGAGCCCAAGGGCTTGGGGGCTCCGGCCCCCCACCCCACCCTGGCCCTGCACGAGCCGCGGGTTCCGCTTCGGTTGGTGTGGGATTCTCTGGGGAAGGGCCTCCACGTTCTATCCGATACCAAAGGGGTCCAAGGGCCCCTTGTGGTCAGGAGTCACTGAGAGGGGGCGCCCTGAAGAAGCCGCTCCTCTTCTGGCTGTAGGGGGGGCAGCCACGCCTCCCGTAGCCCCCAAGTCCCAGGCGGGCGCCTGCGGGACCAACGTCCGCTCAGTCCCCATCCTGGCCGGCAAGGACGCTGAGCCCAGGTGCACTTACCTCCCGGCCCGCGGGGGCTGGGAAGGGGCGCCCGAGCCCGCGGGCCTCAGGGTCTCCTATGATGCGCGGGAGCAGGGTTTGTCTCGAGGTTGGTGGGCAAGGGTCACAAAGGCGTTGGGGGCAGGAGGACCCATCGCCGCTCCTCAGGCGCCGGAGGACCCTCGGGCCCCGAGAAGCCCACCCTGGGAGCGGCGACCCTGGGCAAACAGGGTGCCGGGTGCACCTGTGAGCTGCGCTGACCGGGACCCCGTGAGGGCTTCCTGTCGCTGCTCATGCCTCCCATCCTCACGAGCCCCTCCCCGAAGGTCGGGAGCAGCCCCAGCTGGTGCGGCCCCAGTGGACTGAGCGCCGGCCTGCGAGGCCAAAGGGCACAGGCCCGGGTTGCTGGCCAGGTCCCCGGTCGGGGCGGCGTGTGAAAGGCAACCGACCCATGTTTCCCTCACACACGGATGTTTCCCTGCCTCTCTTTCTCCCTCCCTCTCTTCCTCTCTAAAAATAAATAAATAAAATCTTTTTTTTTTTTTTTAAAGAAGTTACGTGCCGTCGGTCAACCACAGTCCAAAAATACTAACTGGAAAATTCCAGGAACACGTAGTTCGTAAGTTTGAAGGGTGCACCGCTCGGAGCGGCGTGACGAGACGTCGCGCCGCCCCCTCTGTCCCGCCCGCCTGGGGCCTGAATCGCTGCTTTGTCCAGTGTCCATGCTGCCCGTGCAGGACAATAAGGCAGCCTGGGACCAAGAGACCACGTTCCTGTAGCTCTGATTGTGGTATATGGTCTTATAATCGTTCGATGTGATTGGTCGTCGTCGCTCCCCTCTTCCTGTGCCGAGGCGACAGGTGAACGTCGCCACAGGGGTGCACGGGCAGAAGGAAGCTCGGGGTTCGGCGCCACCCGCGGCGCCAGGTGTCCCGGGACGGTGGCTCGTCTGCCCCGCTGAGGGAAGGCCGCCGTGCGCCCAGGGCAGCCCGTCCGACCTCCGGTCTGCACCCGGGAGCCCCTCAGGCCCTTCCTCCCGGGTCAGCCCCGACTCTGCCCAAGTGCCGCTGCCCTGTGGCCTGCGGCCCGCGGACACCCCAAGGCAGGCTTTTAACCATCAGAGAACAGCCCTCTCCCCCTCCGGCAGCGCGTCCCCCGCTTCCTCGTGCCACATTTTTCAGGACTCCGAAGGTGCGTCTTAGGCTCCTAGAAACATGGTCTCTAATTTTTTTCCAGGTCACGTCGGCCGCTGAGAAGCTGGACACCTCAACCCAGTCTGCACTGATGGTGAGATCTCACCGAGGGAGGGAAACCGAACGGAGAAAAAGCGGAGGCCAACAGGCCCAACACGCAGGAGAGAGGCTGGGGAAGTCGCTGGCCCGCTCGGGTCCGCCCGAGCCTTCCGTTCCCTCGGAGAGACGCTCTCCGGCGGTCATGCCTGGGGTGGGCAGGGCGTGCACACGGGGTGGGCACAGTGCGTGGGGGGGGGGAGCGTGGGAAGGTGGGCACAGCGTGAGCGGGGGCGGGGAGCCCCGGAGGGTCTAGGCCCCCGAGTGGCAGCCCCGGCCCGCAGCTCCAAGGCCGCGCTATTTTGCGACATTCCTAAAGCAACATTTGCTCGCACTTAGGACGGTGCATCAAAGGACAGATCTCATGTCAAAAGGGCGGTGCGTGTGCTGGGGAGGGGACTGTCCCTGTACATCCCAGACACTCCTGACCCTGTCAGAGGGACCTGCAGCAGCCAGGACCCGCGCTGCCCCAGCGGCCCCGTCTCCGGAGGGGGTGCTGGCCTGGAGGAGCCGCTCCTGACCAGGAAACGGAACCCACCGGGGTCGCGGTGGGGCCCTGCCCGGGAGCCCGGCTTCCTCGATGCTCTGGGAGAGCTTCCCCGGGGACGGCAGCCTCAGCCATTAGGGCGGCGACGACTTATTTCTGCTCTTGGCTGCACCCCAGGGACGGCTCCTGGATACAGATGCCTGGAAGCCAAGCCCCCAGGGCCTGGGGGTCAGGGTCAGGCACGGGAGCCCGGCCAGGAGCCCGGGGCCCGGCTCAACGCCAAGCCCAACCGGCAGGGTCCAACTCCAGGGCCGGAGCCCGGGGGCCGTCACGCTCAACCCCTGTCGGGCCGAGGCCGTTTGCAGAGCTGTCGGAGGAGGGCCGCCGGCACCCCACACGGGCCCTGGGGTGCCTGCCCTCCGGCCTCGCCTCCGCCCTCCTGTCTCAGGCGGTGCCTTTTCTTGGGACCTGTCAGGCAGGGCGCGGACCCAGGCCGGCCAGCCGGCCACAGTGCGTTGCTGACCTTCCTCGTGGGCATTTTGGGGCAGCCTCTGGCCCACCCACCATTCCGAGAATCCTCGGTGTGGGGCCCGGGAACAGGTCCCCGGACAACCGCAGCGCTGGCCCAGCGTCCTGAGCGCCCAGCTCGTGCAGCGGGGCCGGGTCGCACAGGCCTGGCGGCCGCCGTCCCTGCAGCCTCCGCTGGCACACCGCAAGGCTCATCTTCCCCTTTTCCCTGAGACAGAGACTTTAACTCCTTCCCCACCCCTCCCGGGGCACGGAGGCACCAGGGCACCCGCCTCCGGCCTGACTACGGAAAGCGCGTGGGGCTGCCGTCCCCCAGGCCCCCGAGTGGGCAGTGCCCCTCCAAGTCCTCTCCGGTCCCCTGCGCCTCCTCCTGCTGCAACTTCGGAGCCAGGCGGGGCCTCCACGCTCCCTTCGCGAGGCCCTCCTCCCCGGAGCCCCAAGATGCGCCCCTCGGGGACGGGCTCCTGCGCGAGCCCAGGGCCTCCCCCGCTGCCGCTAACCCCGGGCGACACCGCCCCTCCCCCTCACGGGCGCTGGGGCTTCCTCTTCCGGCAAGAAGGGGTTAAAGCGTCAGGGCGCGGCCCGCGGGCCCCGGCCCCCTCCTCGGCCCTGCGGCCGCCCTCCACGCGCGGGGTGGGCAGGCCCGGGACTTTCGCCCCGTCATGCCCCGTGGCGCGGGGGCGGGAGGGCCGTCGCGCGGGGCGGAGGGTCCCGCCGGCCTCGTGACCCCTCGGGGCGGCCGGTCCCGGGCGCCAGCCCCGTCCCTGGTTCCCAGCCCCTGCCGTGCTACCCTGGCCGGGCGGGAGCGCGGGCCGCGCGTTCCCGGTCCCCACGGGCCGCGCTAGGCCCCAGGCGCCCGGCGGCTCCTCCCCGCGGCGTCGGCCCGGCCGGGCGGCGACCCGGCTCCCCCCCACGGCCGGCGGGCGGGGACAGGCCGACCCCCGGCCCGCGGCCGCGCCCCGTACCGCGATCACGTTGACGAAGGTGGTCTTGCCCGAGTACTGCAGCCCGACCAGCGTGAGCTCCATCTCCTCCTTCCAGAACAGGGCCTTGAACCAGTCCAGCAGCTTGTTGAACAAAGCGATCATGGTCGCTGCGCTCGCGCTCGGCCGGAGCGGCCTCGGTGCGCCGGGTCCGCGGGGGTGCGCGGGGCTCGGGCGCGGGACGACTCGCGGCCGGATCCGCTCTCTGCTGGGTGTGGCCTCGGCGCCTCCTCCGCCGCCGCCCCCCGCGCGCCCGGAGCCGAGCCGGGGCCGCGTCCTGCTCGCGCCCGAGCGCGCGCGCCTCCCGCCGGAGCGGGGCCGGGGCGGGGTGCGCGGGGCCCGCGGGCTGCGGCGTCCGGGCCGCCTGGGGAGCGAAGACTCGGCTTATTTGTCCCCTTCCCGCGCTGCCGCGCCCGACTGGCACCTCCTTCCTTCCTCAAGGGCGGTGGGCCGGCGCGGGCGAGGCCCCCGGAAAGCGGGAACACGTGTGCAGGGCGGAGAGGGTGGGTCCCCCCGCTACCCAGGACCCGAAGACCAGGCTCGGTGCCGGGGGGCAGGGGTGCGGGTGGCGGGGGGACGTGGAGGCTTTGTCCCCTACACCCCTGCCCGGGAGCTCGGCCACAGGCCCCTCTGGCACATCCCCTGCATGGTTTGGGTGTTTTCTGACCCCTCTTGTTTTGTTCACAATTTACTCGAACCACTTGCTTAGCACCTTCTGGCCCAGGGTGAAGTAGATATTTGAGGTTGATGTTGATTTTTTACTGCGATCACCATGATACTTAGGAAAAAATCACACGGGACGGGAGGGGCGGGTGCAGCGAGAGAGAGGGGCAGCAAACAGGAAAGTCGGCCGGTTCGGGGAAGAGCCAAGGGTTTCTTCCAGAGGCCGCTCGGGCGCCCCCTCTGAGGACCACCAGGCCTGCGGGACCCCGGGCTCCCTGGCCAAGCGGCCCAGGCTCCGGGCTGCCCCGCCCCCGCCGGGGGCGCTCTGGTGCTTGGGTGCCACAGGCTTGTAGGCCATTCAGTCAAAGGTGCGGAGCCGGCAGTGTCGGCCTTGGCTGTCACTCCACGAAGGCGACCCCCAGCGACGGCCGCGGCCCGCAGGAATCCCAGGCCTGGCCCCGCACGGCATTCTGGGTGGGTGAACATCATCTCCGCAGGCCCCGCCCTTCCCGGGTCCCTGTGTTGCCCCCCAGGCGCCCGCTGCCCGGGTTCCTACACGGACGCAGTTTCGCTTTGCGTGCGTGTCCCCGGAAGGGCCAGGAAAGTCCCTGGACCGCGCAGCCTGCCCCGGTGTGTGGCTTCCTCCTCTCTTCGTGGCTGTAAAGAGGCTCCAGGGTCCCGGGGAGACCAGGGAAGGATGGAAAGAATCAGCCACCTAAGACTTTATTTCCTCACTCGGTTGCTTTTCCAGAGCGGCTGCGCCGTCTGTGTTGGGGAGCGCGGTGGGGCTGTGCGCCCCGGGAGGGAGCCTGCAGGCTGGCGTTGGGGAGCCGGCCTCCACACTGGCGCCCCTGTGCTCCAGGCAGGGCGGGGCTCCGGAGGGTGCAGAGCCCAGCTGCCCGGGGACTCGGGTGCGGACAAGCCCCCTCCAGGGCTGCAGGGAAGGAGGGCTTCCCCGGCCCGGCAGAAGCATGAAGTAAACAACCCCATCCCAGCGCCGCTGGGTGCTCTTCAGAAGGGAGGCCTCGCGGAGGGTGCCGGGCCTCCCCGGGAGGCGCTGGGGGGAGTGCCCGGTGGTTCCGGAGGCAGGGCAGCCCCTCTGGGCCTGGGGGAGACCCCCACACTTTCCCTCTTCCAGAGACACCAACTGCCTGGCCTGTCCCTAGGCACATCCGTCCCCCTGGGACACCCGTGGGCCTGGGGCGGTCTGGGCGGCTGGATGCCCTCACCGATGGGCGTGAGGAGATGCGTCCCCACTGGGGCGCGGAGAACCCCACCGAGGTCCAGACAGGCCTTCTGGCTGCAGCTTCTGGCCCGTCTTGGGCTGGGCTCGGGCGCGGGAGGCTTCCCTAGCCCCGGCAGGTGGCACCGCAAGCGGCTTCCCACTGTTTCTCTTCAATGGCAGCAAGTTGCGCAGAGGCCACATGCGCTGGGCACCCGGGTGGGCAGCACTCTCGGGTCTGCAGAAAGGCCAGCCCCGTCCTCGCGTCCAGGCAGACAAAGGAGGTTCCCCTGGTGTCCACGTGGGGCCACCAGAGGGAGCAGGGGGCGGCCAGTGGGGAGACCTGGCGTCTGACCGTGGTCCTAGCTGATTGGCGCCCTGTGAGCCCCATGTGCCGAGGGGGCGCCTCTTCCCCGGGCCGCCCAGGGGGGCTGCAGGTCGGAAGGCCCAGCTTCCCCGGCCCGGGGGAGGGGCAGCTGGGCCGGGGGCGGGCGCAGGGGTCAGGGGCTGGGCTCCCCCGGCAGCTGGGCGGCATACAGGGCCAAGGTGTGGTGCAGGAACTGGTACTGCTCAGCCGTCTGGATCATGCCCCCCCTGTGGGGACAAGCACACGGGCGTGAGTCCCTCGGCCGCCCTCGTGTCCCCGGGGAGCCGGCCAACCCCGCGCGTCCTCTCTGCTTCCTGCTGCCCCTCAGACCTGCCCCCCGGAGCCCCCTGCCCCTCACGCAGGGCTGAGCCTGGGGGCTGTGCCCAGAGGAGCCCCCAGTGGGGCGTGGTCTTGTCTGATCGTCAGCTGCCGGGCCAGGAGCATCCCTGGGCGCCAAGGCTCCCGCTTCCCCCTGATCTCAGAAGTAAAGGAATGACCCCACAGCCGCGCGTGGTCGGCTCTCACGTTCCCCAGCCGCTCCGGCCCCGGCTAACTCTACCCCGCGGCATGTCTCTGCGGAAGGGGCCCAGCAGAACAGCAAGAGCTCAGAGGGGTGTGCACTGCAGCCGGCGGCCGGTCCCCTGTCTCCAGCCCAGAGGCCTGTCCTGCCTCCCCCCCGCCCCCCGTCACTGCCCAGCACCTAGGACCAACCAGACCCCACCCCCTGGCCTTTCCCCCCGAGGAGCAGTTTGGAAAAACAAAGACAAAAACAAACAAAAAAAATCACTGAAGGCTGGGGTCGGTCCACAGGGTGGCGCAGCTAACTCTAGCTCCCCAAGCAGAGGTTCTGGATAGAGATTTTTTTCGTGGGAGCCCAAGAAACAGCTCTGTGAGCAGAGGGCCCTTCCTCTCTCACAGGCAGTGCTCGTGGGTCATGTGCCTGCAAGCGCTCTGACCCGGGAGGCGCGGAGGCCACTCGGTGTCCTTGGTCCACTCACACCCATGGGCCCACCTGTCCAGCCGCAGTTGGCACACGATGCCCAGGATGTCCACTTCCCCTCGGGCCTTCAGCTGTTGGCAGCCTATCCGGGTGGCGATGAAGCAGCCGGTCCGCCCGATCCCTGCACTGGGTGTGGCCGGGGAGGGGACGGAGGGTCACGGGGGGCCAGAGCGAGGGGCCAGGCTCTGCACCGCCGAGAAAGCGGCAGGAAGTAGCGCGCTCTGGCTGGCGGCTGCGGGCGCGGGGGCAGGGAGGTGACAAGGCCTCAGCAGGTCACAGCCGGCCCCGGATGAGCTGCGTTCCTTACCGACCTCGCTCTGAGCCTCGGCCAGGTCACCCTCGGTCCCTGTGGGCGTCTGATAAGCGCGTGACAGCGGTTTCCAACGGACAGAGCCCGTGCTGGGGCGGCGACCCTGAGCCTCCTTATCTGGCTGGGGCTTCCCCCCAGCGAGGCTCCTCGCCGTGGCCAAGGCCGCCCGTCCCCACTTCAGGCCTCCCTCCGTTCTCTCCCTCGCCCTTGACTTTGAAATCTTCTTGGGTCTCCTTCTCAGGAACCCCTGAGAGACGCCACCTGCCGCCTCCCCTCCCCTCCAGGGACCACCCGTGGGTGGGGGGGGCCGCCCCTTGGCCTCTGCGTTCTGCTTTGCCAGGGAAACGCACTCCCGGGAGGCGTCCTTATCTTCAGGGTGTCCCTGCACGGCTCCCCCTCCTCCCCAACCCGCTCTTGACGTCGTCGCGCAAGTGCTCCTTTAAATGGCAGATCCAAGCGTCTTAGCTGGGCCTGTGAGGGCCCCCCATCCTCGGGCCTCATCGCTCTCCCGCCCGGGTGACCCCCGGCCCCGCCTCTCACGGCTCCGGGCTCCGGGCCGGTGTGAAGGCCTCCCCTCCGGGGCTTTGCACGCCCTCCCCTCGCCGCCCTCAGGTCTCGGCTCAGCGAGACACCCCGTGCCCCGGGAAGCGCCCCGAGCTGGGCCGCGCACCTGCAGTGGACCAGGATGGGCCCCGCGCCGGCCGCCGTCTCCGGACTGTCCCCGACCTCGGCCACCAGGCGCAGCAGCGGCCCGGCCGACTCTGGGGTCTGGTGGTCAGGCCAGGCTGAGAAGAGGATGTGCCTCAGGGACCGGCGCTCCTCCTGGTGCTGGCAGGGGCAGGAGGCCGGGGTCAGGGGGCACCGCCCTCCTCCGCGGCACCGGTGCCGGGGAGGGCGAGGCCGGGGCGGGCGGGGCTGGCTGTCTCCTGCCTGTCGTGCCCCGCCCCCACCCCAGCGTGCCAGGAAGGCGCTCGGGCCAGGAGAGGGGACTGTCCCCTTCTGCCTCCAGCCAGCACGTGACTTCAGGAAAGTCCCATCAGCCCATTTTCTTCACCCAGAAAATGGGGACACCGCTATCTGGCGGGGTCACACCCCGGGAGGTGGGAGGATAACGAACCGAGAGAGGAAGGTCGGACGAGCGAACAACGCCGCCGTCTGAAAACAGGCGGCCCCCGGCAGGTCCCCACGCCCCGTCCTCCTCGCCAGGCTGCCGGGTGGCGGGTCTCCCTGCTGCTTCCTACCCTCCGCTCTGCCCTGAGACCCGAACCCACATCCCTCCGTCTTCTGCGCCCCCGATGCTTCTGGTCGATGCTGGTTCGAGGAAGGTCAGCGACGTCAGCCCCGGCCCCGGGGGAGCGGGGTGGCCCGGCCGCCCTGCGGGCCCGGGGGTACCTGGATGGTGAGCCGCCGCACGGTGTATTCCGGGAGCTCTCTCTCCTCCTGGACGCGGAGCCGGAAAGGCCCGTAAGTGCCCTCGTCTGTGGGCCAGTAGTGGACACATTTCTAGGAGAGAGGGAGCCGGGAGTCAGAGGGGGAGGGGCCTATGAGCTGGGGCCGGGCCAGGACAGCAGGAAGGTCCCCTCCGCACCCCGCACCCCACCCCCCACCGGCTGCAGATGGAACACCCACACTCTGGCCGGAAAGCCTCCGCAGGGGGCGTGTGTCTCCGGAGCCTTGCCACGTGGGCGAGCAGGCCTGCCTACAGGCGCTCGCAGCCCCCCGGGCTTCTGTGTGTGCGCGGCGGGCGGGGGTGCAGCCCTCCCTGGGTTCCCCCGGGGCCGCGGCTCCGCCTCGCACCTCCTTGCCCTCGCGGAGCTGAGTGAGCATGACGATCAGTGACACGCCCTCCTGCCACACCATCTCCCAGAAGTCCGGCACCGTGTTGGGCATCGGGCCCTGGGTGGCGATGTAGGCCTTCTCCTGCCCGTTGTGGCCCTGGGGGGGCACAGGCCGGGGGCAGCAGTGAGAGGGGCGCTCGGGCCCCCGGGCCCTGCAGGTGCCGGACGAGGCCACAGCCCTGAGCTGAGACACGCACGCCCACGCCACGGCACGCATGCAGACACGCGTGTGCCCATAGACACCATGCAGGCACGCGCGCACACATGGGAAGCGCGCGCCGGGAAGGACCCGGGCCCCGGAGCGGCCCGCCTGGGCTCGGATCCTGTCCTCCTGCCGCCGGCGGCTCAGGGCGGCGGTGAGGCCCAGGCCTCTGCGCACCTGCTGGCGGCCGCAGGTGGGGATCCTGCTCCCCAGGCTCCCAGCCTAACAGCCCTTCGGCTCCGGCGCCTGTCCTACCGCTGCGGGGCCCTAGGTGGTGCTCTTCCACTGCAGTATTTGGGGCCCGGAGCCCCCTAGGCCTGGCCTCCCGGTTCCTGTCGGTTCCCGTGCGGCTTGACGGGGACCATGTCCACCCAGGAGGGGCCGCTCGGGGGCAGGTAAGGGAGTGAGAGAGGCAGTGGGTCGCCCATTGGTGCAGAGACCCCGGGCTCAACCGGCCTCCTCCCGCCGGGTCAGAGTTGGCAGGGATGTGAGGGGCGGGGGCGGGAGATGCGGGGTCCCCTCTTTCAGCTTGTTTTGCATCCTCTCTGTTTTCTTGGAGTGCAGGGGGGCCCGGCGTCGGGCCAGCCTGGCAGGACAGCTGTGAGCCGGGGGCGAGAGATGCTCCTGGGGCCCCCAGCCGCCAGCCCCACGCGGCACTCACGCGGATGTAGTTGGCGTTGATGTAGCCTCCGTCCTCTCGGCTCCGGGCCTGGCCAAGGCACACCCGGCTCTGGGGATCTAGGCGGTCAATCAGCGGAGGTCAGAGGTCACGAGGGGACCCGCAAAGGCCGAGGGCACAGGGCGGAGGGGGGGCCCCGTGGCGACCACAGCACCTCTGTGGGGCTGTGACCGCTGTCTGTGTGGGCGGGCGGGGCTGTGGGTGACCCCACGGTTGGGGGGCTCGGGGGGAGGAGCGGCGAGCGGGGCTAAGGGGCTGCGTCCTGGGGCTGGACGGGGGGAACAGGATTGTAGCGGAGGGTGGAAGAGAGCCGCCGAGGCGGAAGTCTTCGGAGGGCGGACGTCAGCCTCTCCTCTGGGGGCAGGGAAAGGGCTGCCCCAGCCCCGGGCCCGCAGGGCGCTGAGGGCGGCCGCGTGCTCCCTGCCGCCCGGCTCTGGGCAGGCGGAACCTCAGGCAGAGGGGGCTCCCGCTCTGGGGCTGAGGAGCCGGGCGGCGTCAGGCCCAGGGCCTGCGGTCAGCGGCTGGGCCGGACCCTGCACTGAGCCCTCAGGGCTGCGTGCTGCCCACGTACGGCCTCGGGGTGCGGGGCGGGAGCGTCTCCCCGGCCCCACAGTCCCCGCCTCGGGCCCCTCTAGAAAGCAGCAGGCGCTAGTCCCTGGCCCGTCGAGCTCACAGCCCCCTGGCCTCCGTCTCAGACTCCCCGACGCCTTCTCTGGGCGCCGCCCCTGCAGAGCCTCGCTGGGTGCTCCCCACAACACCCCCAAGGAAGAGGAAGAAGGCTGGGTGCCCCCAGCTCTCACACCTTGTGCGACGGCTCAGCGACTCAGTGTTGCCGTTTGTAAAATGGGGGCACCATAGTGACACCATAGCGCTGACATCAGGGGTCATCCCGAGGGGCTCTGGGCAGAGCCGGGCGCCCAGGGGCTCCCCCATGGGCGGGAGGCTGACGCCGGGGGCTGGGGTGCCTGCGGCTCCCGCCGTGTGACGTGGGGGCATCTGCTGAGCGTACAGCCCTGGGCGCCCTCCCTGGCCCTTCCCTGGCGGAGGGCGTGCTCCCCAAACCCCGTGCACCCCCGGGACGGCGCGCCCGTCACTCCCGCCGTTGTCCTTACTTGGCAGGATGGTCTTGTACCGGTCCTTGCAGGCGTGGCCCGGGATATCCAGGTCCTCAGGGCTGACAAAGTTTGGGGGGATCTTCTGGTGGGGGGAAGACACGTGTGAACAGCTGACACCCTGGTCCAGCCCCTGGTCCCCTCCTCCCTTTTCTGCTGGAGCTGGGCCCTGGCCGTCCGGCACCCCCGCCCCCCGCAGCCGCTCAAAGGTCTGGGTGGACAGGGCAGAGGCGAAGCCTGGGGCGCCTGCCCCCCGCCGGCCCCCAGCCTGGGGTTCTCTCCCCTGGGCACCTGCAGAGGAGGCCCCCACAGCGCCGGGCGGGCGGAGCCCCTGACTCAGAAGGGCAGGGGGACCGTGTTCTTACCAAGAACTCCTCCTCCAGCTGCTGGGGGCTGGGGGGCTGGTGCTGCAGGGCCCAGCGGGTGAGGGGGTGCCCGGCGGTGCGCAGGAAGTGCAGGGTGACCTCGCGGGGCGTGCTCACCGCGCAGATGGGCTCCACGGCCCCCAGGGACCGCACGTCCAGCACCAGGGCTACACTGGAGCCCCGCCTGTGGGCAGGGCAGCGGGGCCTGGTGAGTGGGCACCTGGGACCGGGGCCCTGCTTCCGGCCCCCGCAACCCCAGGCCCCTCCGAGGCCCCGCGGCCCCGGGAGGTCGGGGTTCAGACCCCTCCTCGGGTTCTCCTCCCTCCTCAGCCCGGACAGGGCGGCCGTGGGCCCAGCGGCCCGCCCCGGCCCGGCCCCCAGAGCTTGGACCGACGTCCAGACCCAAGACAGCCCTTCTCCGGGGGCCTGGGGACAAAGTTGGGAGCAGGAACAAGGGCGACATGAAACCCTGTGTCCCAGCATGTTAAGGGATGCAAATTACACGCAAATGAGCCCGGGGTTTCCTTTGCCGGCTGCAGACAACAACTGAGGGCCCCCTCCCGGACGGTTCTTTCTGGGCTGGGGGCGGGGGGCGGCGGGCAGGGGAGCGAATGGAGGGCACAGCCCACGGGGGGGGGGGCTCACCTCTCCTGCAGCCGCACGTGCTTCTTGGCGGGCGCTTTGGCGGGCGGTGGCTGGGTCATGGCGACCCCCCGAGACCAGGCCCACAGCTGTGCTCCGGAGCGCCCGCCACGGGCCTGGACCATGCTGGGGGCTGCCGGGCCCGGGGGAGGCTCACCCAGCCATGAGGGTCGCCGGAAAGACGACGGCCGGGGCTGCGGAGCGCCGGGCTGCGCGGCCGGAGAGGGGCCCCGTCCCAGGCCGCCCTCTGGCCTCCTCCTCCTGCGTTCACAGGGCGGCCTGGGTCCTTGTCACCCGGGCCAGGCCAGGCCAGGCTCTGCGCCGGCGCCCAGGGTGGCTGGCGGTCTGCGGCGAGAGGAAGGGCACGGTGAGAGCAACAACTGCGGGTGAAGGTCGAAAAGGATTCAAAAGGTGCAGAGAGGGGCGGGGGGTGCCCGGGGCCCAGGCGTGCGCCGGGCTGCAGGCTGGCGGCCCGGAGAGAAGGCGGGGGAGGAAATTCGCAGGGGGTGCTCCGTGGAGAAGGGAGGGCGCAGCTCACAGGCACCACCTGCCAGCCCAGCCCCCCGGCCTTCTCCGGGAGGGAAGCCTCAGGCCCCCAGCCGCCGGCGGGGACCCCGGCGCCGGCCCCTCGCGGGACCCTCTCCTGAGGGCCGGCAGGCCCCGCCCCCGTTCGCCCCGGCTTCGGGGGTCTCCGTCCAGGGAGGTCGACTGGGGGTGTTCCTTCCTCCTCTGCCCATCCCCCCATCTCCTGCCTCCCTAACCGTCACAGGAAATGGCCTCACCAAGCCCTCGAGCGACACGCATGGGGAGGCCACGGCTGGGGGCAGGAGGGGGCACGCAGGCCGGGGGCAGCCCCTCTTGGGGGACGGTCCCTGTCTCCCAGAGCCAGGGCCTCGCTTCCGGGGTGTGTGTGTATGAGAGTCCCTAAGGCCGCGGGGTCGCGGCGTGGGGGACGGAGGGGGCCGCACGGACGCGGGCCGCGCCGAGGGGCTTCCGCAGCCGGCGGGGCTTCCCCGCTCTCGTCTCCGCGGCCCCGCGCCCCGGGGCGCCCCTTTCCCAGACAGACCCTAGGGCACCCAACGCGCCCCTCGGGGATGCCCGCCGTCCCCCGGGGCTCCCTGACCCCAGGGCCGCGGAGCCCCTCCTGCCCCCTGTCTGGACTCACCAAAGCAGCTGTGCTCCGGCCTGCCTCTTGCCAGCTGTCTGCCTGTCTGTCGGTCTGTCTTTGAGGCCAAGGAAGCTTCAGGAAGCCAGCTTCCTCCGCCTGCCCCTCCTGGCTGCCGCCCACGCACACCCAGCTGCACGCTGCCCTCCTGCCGCCGCCAGGGGTCGGTGCCTCCGGCTGTGCCCCTCCGGGGACGGCCCGGCAGTGTCCCCGAACCTCTGCCCGGGCCCAAGGCCCGTCCCGGGCCGGCCAAGCGGGACACTCCTGACCGCCCGGGGCCCCTCCAGCCCTGCCTCTGGGCTGTCTCTCCGCTGGGCCAGTCACATCCTGCTGCTGCTGACTTGCCGGGCAGACCCCCAGGCGGCAAGCCGGCTTTGGCCGGAGACGGGTGCCCGCGTCTCTGCTTCTGCCTCAGAGCCTGGCGCCGGCCGCACGGTGCCCTCCGGAGTGAGGGGGTCCCGGTCATGGCCAGGCTGCGCTCAGGGCTGAGGCGGGCAGACAGGGTGGGCGGGGAGAAGACCACGGGGTCGTCCCGGGCCTGAGCCCCACCGCAGCTCCTGGCCGCCCCTGGTCGGAGACGGGCCAGCCGCCGGGGAGCAGCAGCAGAGCCAGCTTATAGCAGGGGCCGGGGTCGCCCCCGGCCTGCAGCCCCCTCCAGGCCGCCCCCCGGAACGCGGACATCGACTCAGACGTAAGGGCAGCGGACAGTCTTCGCCCTCACTGCAGGGTCTCCTGTGCCGTCTTCGCCCCGGAGGCGCCGGGGGCCTCGGGAGTGGCCCCCCGGCCCAAGCCTCCACTGCTCCCCGCCCCCGCCTCGCCTCAGCGGGCCCCGCGGGGTTCATGCCCACAGTGCTCCTGCCTCCGTTTACTGGTGACGCTCCGAGCACCCTGCCCTCCCCGGCCCCCGACACGCACAGCCTGTCCTTCCTCTCCCTCCTACCTCTCCAATTCAGCTGTCCAACGGTGGCAGCCAGAAAGAGTCGAGGTGCAATAGGCACGGGGGGCGGTGGGGAGGGCCGGCCCCCGCCGGCCCGGGGGCCCGAGGCGAACCTGGCAGCCCCGTGGAGCCGGCGGCCTCCCAGCGTGGCCCCGGCTCCGGGCGCGGGGATGGGACAGGCCCCCCCCGAGGCCCACGGGTCCTGGCCCCTTCCTCCCGCTCCGTGCTCCTGGGGGCGGCTTTCCCGGGAGGGGGCTGCTCAGAGCTGGGTAGCGCTTGGTACCCGAGACGGGGGAGGGGCGGGAGTCCCTGGGCCCCTGTGGGGACTGACCCAAGACCGGCCCCTGCCCCAGCCGCCCCCCCGCGCTGGAGCCAGCAGTACGGCCCTGCGCCCGAGGAGGGGCAGGAGGGGATTGGAAGGAGGGCCACGCCGGAGATGGTTATCGCGAGCAGGAAGCCAGGGGAGAGCAGGGGGAGGAGGAAGTGGGCAGAGCCGCCCCCGCGGGGCGGCCGGTGCCCCCAGTTTCCGCGGCCCGAGCCCCGCTGGCTGCGAGCGCCCCTGACCTCGCCAGGCTACGTCCACGGCGGCGGGAGTGGCTGGGAGCTGAGCTCCTGGGCGATGCACAGGTGGTCCCTCCGTTCCCTCTGGGTGTGTTTGGGGGACACGGTCACTTCTGCGTCCTGCACACCCTTTTCCCTGTCTGCTTAGAAAGGCCGGGGCATCGTGCGGGTGTGGGGCGCGCACACTGCCCACAAGCCCTGTCTGGGGGCCCGGGACGCCCCACCCGCCCTCGTTGGCGGCTGTGGGTGCTGGAGGCCCCTCCCAACCCCCTTCCCTGCCTCCGAGGCCTCCCAACCTCCACCCCCCTCCCACGGCCGCCGCCTCCCCGTGTTGGGGCTGAGCTTCCAGCCGCCCTGACTCCAGAGCACGTAGACCCACAGCTGAACCAGAGAGGCCTGTGTGCGCCCAGTGGCCTCCCGGGGCTCTGGGTTCCCCTCAGGCTCCCGCCCCAGCGGGATGGTAACAGCGCCTCCCGCTTAACTCAGCGGGCGCGCCCCGAGCGGAGCTGAGCGCTCGGCAGGGAGAAGGCGGCCCGGGGGGGCCGGGGGCGGGGGCAGCGTCTGGGTCAGCCCTGGTCCCCGACTCTCATCTCCCAGCCCGACTGTGGGAGAGGGCCGCCCGGGACATACAGCGCCCCCGCCCTGTCACCCCTGATCCCTGGGCCGCCAGCCACAACCCCCGAGGCGCAGGCGTTCTCGGGACGTCATCCCGAGGTCCCAGAAGTTCTTGTTTCCCGGCAGCACCTCGGGAGCAGGCCGGGCGGCTGCCAGCCCCGGAGTCACGGGCTGACACCCTGTCACATTCCACACACTCCACAGGCCCCTCCCCAGCCCTCGGCGCCTCCTCCTGGAGAAGCCCTGGGACCCTAGGCTCTCTCGCCCCTTCCAAGTCCTGGACCAGCTTCAGGGTCCCAGCCTGTTCCTGGCCACAGGGCGGGGGGAGGCCAACGCCCAGGGCCGGGACCGGGGGTCCTGTCCGGAGGAGGCGGGGAGGCTCGAGGCAGGGGGGCGGTGAGGGGGCGGGACAAGGTCTGGGCCGCTGGTGCGAAGTCGGGAACCCCCCTGCTCCGCCCCCAAGTCCTGTGGGCCAACGGGGCGCCCATCCCCCTCCCGACCCAGTTCCCTGACCCCAGTGCCTTCTCTGGGGAGGGCTTTCCTGTGCACCCCACCCCCAGGCTGGAGGACCCGCAAATCAGGCCAGCTCCGCACCGGGACCCAGGGCCAGCGGCCGCCCTCTCTCCCAAGCCCAGACCCTGTGGAAAGGTCGACGGTCATCCGTCCCGCAATGGGGCCCTTTCGTGCCAGGGCCCTCCTGGGCCCCCCGTCCCCGACGTCACCGGGTGCCCAGGGCACCCCTCGTACCCTGGGGCTCACACACGCAGGCGCGCGCCCCCGCCCCCGCCGCCTTCCCACGGCCTGGCCGGGAACAGAGGCCCCCCCAGCGTGGGGGTGGCCAAGGCCTGGCTCCGGGTAGGAAGCCTGGGCCAGGAGGGAGCGGTCGGGGGAGGCCTGGCTCGCGCGCGGGACCCGGACGCCGGGACCATCCCCAGGCCCTCGGCCTCCGGGCTGGGCCTCTCCACAAGGAGGCGGTGAGGTGCTCTGAGACCTCGGGAGGACCCCCGGGCTCTCTCAGGGGAGGATGTGGGTTTGTCTGTGGGGACGAGACACAGCTCTTGTGGGACTTTTTCTGCTGAATGGAGAAGCTGGGGCCGGGAGGGTGCTAGTTGTCTTTCTGCTGCCTCTCCGGAGCCCTCCGCCCCCTCGGCAGCTGCCCCAGGCCGGCGGGGGCTGCCAGGTGTGCCTTCTGCGGCCAGGTGCCCCACAGGACTCGCCGCGGGCTGCGCTGTCCTCCGCAGGCCCCTCCCGCGGGGACGCTTGTGGGGGGTCTGAGATGCTCCCCACGCCATGTCCGCTCCAGGGCGTTTCCACCCAGCACCCCCACCACCGCGTTGTTCTGCAGCTGCTGGTGGAGGCCCAGCTGGAGGTGCCCGAGGTTGGGGGGCGCCCGGGGGCAGGGCGGCCGTCCAGACTGGGACCTCCTCCCCGTCACAGCGGCTTCCCTAGTGGCCCTTCCCTGACCTTGTCTGAAAGAGCGCACGCAGCCTGGAACATGCGACCCGTCTGTGGGCTGTTTCCAGGCCCCCGTCTGCACCCCGGGGCCGGTGGGCGGCTCTGAGGTTGGGCGAGAGGGGCTGGCGGCCGGCCGGGGCGCAGCTGGAAGGCGCGGGCTGGGCTCCTCCTCCCGGCGGCCCTGGCCTTCAGGCTGCCTGCACCTGCCTGCTCGCTCACGGTGCCCTCCCCACTTCCGGAGTGAGCCCCTGAGTCCCGGCCCCGCCCCCACCCGCACTCCGCGTCCCTCCGCGTCCCGCGGTCCCGGGGCGGGGCAGCAGCTTGAGGCTCTAGGCTGGGCTGAAGGGCAGCTGAGATCCGGAGGCTGCCCCCCGGGTGGGCTGAGTGGCGGCAGCGGCGTCTCTGGAGCCCCCTCCTGGCTCGAGTTCCCGGGGCACACGCGTGTGCGTGTGTCTGTGCACGTGCAGGGGCACCCTCGGTGCCCTCACGCCAGAGGTCAGACACGGGCGTCCACGGCTGTGTGCTCAGCGGGGCCTGGGGGGCCCAGGCGTCCGCAGGTCACATGGCCCTGCCCTCCGCCCCCACGGGGCTAAACCCACCGCAGGAAGCCACTGCCCCCCGGGATCTCTCAAGAAAACCCTGCAGGGCTCCTGGGGGCTGCCTTGCGGGTCTTGCTGATCCCGGGCGTGCAGAACGGAGGCTGACCACACCGGCAGTGCCCCAGTGTGGCCACCAGGTGGCACACGTTCTCCTTGCAGGACTGACCCTGGGTCGGGGTCACAGGGGTGAGGCCAATCAGGCCTGGAGGCGGGGGGGGGGGGGGGGGGGGTTGGGGGAGCGGGGGTTCCTCGGGGCCCCCCAGGCTGAGGAAGCAGGGGCGCCAGGCCCTCCAGCGCCCAGCTGGCCGCTGCTGTTTCTCGCCGTGTCCACTTGGTCTTGCTGTAGGCAGAGATGGGGTCCAGAGTCAGAGAGGGCGAGGGCTGCTGGTGTGGGCCCCGAGGCCGGGCGCTCTGCTTCCGAAGCCCCTCCCACAGCCTGGGGGAGCCCGGGCCTGGGGCGGCGACGCGGGGCATCCTGCTCGGACCCTGGGAGCGGGGGCAGGGTGGACCCTGGGCTCCCCGGTGACCCCCTGGCGAGCTTCCCACCTCAGGAGCCCTGCTTGGGTCATGGGTCCAAAGGACAGGGTCTCCCGTCTGCTCTTCACTGGACCCTGACGTCTCCCAGGGATGTGACACCTCTTAGGAATGGTCCCTGTGGTTGGGCCCAGGCTGGCTGGTTTGCCAGTGCCCAGAATCCCTCTCCCGCCCCGGGTCGGTTTCTCCACACACAGGGGGTGCCCAGCCCCCCCGCCCCTGCCCCAGGGACCCTGTCCACCTTTGGCAGCCAGGGCGTGGCCCAGCTGCAGGGAGGGACAGGGGCCCCGGGAAGGTTCTGCGAGCTGCAGGTGGCCTCTGTGCGGTGCCCAGGGCAGCCACCAGGTGGCGCTGCGGACCGCGGTGCGTTGAGAGCAGCCCACGACCCGGGACACAGGCCCCTCTCTTAGCGGACACCCCGGTCGGGCCCCAGGAGCAGCCGCCCGCCTCCGCTCCTCTCTGAACAGCGCGCGGGTGGCCAGGCTGCCCGAGCAGTCACTGGGGGGGCAGAAGCGGAAGAGGCCGGCGGCCGGACTCCGGGGCGGCCGCCTGCCCACAGGCTGCAGGCTGTGAAGGCGCAGAGCCAGGAATGAAGAGCATGGTCGGCCTGGGCTGAGCGTGTCCTGCCTGCTCATCTCCCGGGGGAGGGACAGCCTCGGAGGCCGCAGGACGCGGGCCTGGTGGCAGCGGCGAGCAGGGCCCGGCGGGGCGGGAGCCCCCGAACAGGCTGACCTGCAGCCCGCGTGCTGGGCCTTCCCTGGGGGCTCCAGGCTCCAGTCCCCCGTGTCGGGGGCGCCTGGGTCCAGGGCCCAGCTCCTCACGGCCGCCCCCCGGCCACGCACCGTGACACCGGCCCCCCGGCCGTCCCGGGCTCCCCCTCCGCCTGCCAGCCACCCCGGGGTGCACGGAGCCCCAGCACCCTGACTGCAAGTCCCCCTCCTGCCCTGTGTTTGCAGGAGCCGGGGTGGCCCCGCAGGGCTCCCGGGGGGCAGGCTCCGAGCGCCGCCTGCCCAGGAGGGCACCCGGGCCGGCTGGCCAGGACCGCGGGAGCTGAGCCAGGTGAGGACGGCGCCAGAGCTGGGGGTGCGGGCGCCCAGGAAGGCCCGGGGGGCTCGACAAGAGGGTCTCAGGGTGCACAGGGCCGGGATAGAGGACGTCCCCGGCTTCAGGTCACAACGTGGGAGGCACGAGCCGGACCGGCCCCGCACGGGGCCTCGGCTCAGCCCGGAGAGGCCAGAGGCGGCCCAAGGCCTTTAGAGCAGGGACGAGGCCCAGGCCCAAGCCCAGGCCCGTCCGCGACTCCGGCTGCAGCTCCGGCCGGCAGGTGGCGCCAGCGCGCCGCCTCTCGGGCTCCGCCCGGCCCTCCGCGCGGTCGGCCGTGGGATCAGGGGTCCCGGGCGCGCCGCCTGCAAAGCCCGCTCAGCGGGTGGACGTGCGCGCCCGTTTCCTGGGCCCTTGCCCGCCACCCCACCCCAGCCAGCAGGGGATCCCTGGGGGAGGACACCCCCTCTTTCCCCTCCCCCAGGCGGCAGAGTGACGAGGCCTGACCCCGAGTTCCAGGTGGGGGGCTGTTCCCCATCGTTGGTGCGACCTTGACCAAATCACTTCCCCAGGGCCTCAGCTTCCTCCCGTGGCGGCACAGGGCTCCGGCGCCCGCGGGGGCTCGGAGCTTCTTCCCAAGGGGACCCCCGACCCCGTCCCCTGGGGGCCGTGGCTGCCCCTGCGGGGGGCAGGGTCTGCACCCAGGTCCCGGGACCCGGTGCGGACATGTGCGCGTCTGGACGGGCCGCTCGGCGCGGGTCCCGCGGTTCCTCCGCTGCGTTTCCTCCCCGAGTGGAAGCGCTGCCAGCTCAGAGGCAGGAGGGACGGGGCGAGCCGGGCGCAGCAAGTTTCCTTGACTCCTCCTCCGCGTGTCTCCCTCCCTCGCCAAGCCCAGCCTGTGAAAAGAGCAACGCACTCGCCATGCCCGCGCAGCGCTGACTGCACGGTCCCGCGCCGCCGCCGACCCCGCGCCCGGAGCACAGCCCGCGCCCGCCCGGCCGCACGCCCCGTGCGCCCGCAGCCGCCCGCCGCCAGGTGCCCGGCCCGCTGCCGCCGCCGCCGCCGCGATGCCCTGCGCGCCCGGGCTGCGCGCGCTGTGGCTGTGCGCCGCGCTCTGCGCCTGCCCGTGCGCCCCCCAGCCCGGCCCGGCGCCCGGCCCCTGCCCGGCCCCCTGCCACTGCCGGGAGGACGGCGTCATGCTGTCGGCCGACTGCTCGGAGCTCGGGCTCTCCGCCGTGCCCCGCGACCTGGCCCCGCTGACGGCTTACCTGTGAGTATCGGCCGCGCGCCCCTGCTGCTCCGCCTGTGCCCGCCTGGCCTCGTCTGGGGCACCTGCCGGGCGGGCGCCCCGCGCGCAGGCAGTGGCGGGGGCTCTCCCCGTCCCGCGCACAGACCGTCAGGCCAGCGCGAGAGCAGAAGCAGACTGGACCTCAGACAGGCGGCGCGCTGGGCTTCCCTGCCTGGTTCGCCGCCAGTCTCCCCCAACCCTGCCCCCCACCCCCCACGTGAGAGTTCACTGAGGGAGCTCAGGCTTGGTCAGAGGTGGGCCGCTGGCCCCTGGGCGGGAAGGACCGGGCTTGGCGGGCCCTCTCCTCGGAGAGCGCCCCAAGGGCGGCTGAGGGTCTGTCCTCGGAGCGGCAAGGACAGCGGGGCTGGCACCGGGCTGGGAGGTCTTGGTGGGGAGTCCCAGGAGCTGGGAAGGGGCCTTGTGCGCTCCCGCCTCCTCCAGAAGGGGCCCTGCCGGCTGCACGTCCCTTCGCCGGGGCCTCCTGGCTCCCCCAGGGCCCCCCCCGAAGCCCTGTCCCGTGAGGCCCTGCTGGAGACGCTACTTTGTTGTGGGCTGAAAACTAGAGAACCACTTTTAGAGCCTGAGTTGAGGTGAGAGGACGCGTGAAGGGGACCCTACCGGGGGCAGCTGTGCCGAGGACGGGCTCACGGCTTCCCCGCAGAGGCTGCGGGCTGGGGGCTCAGGCTCCCGAGTCCCAGGCAGGGGAGGGTGCACAGCTTGTGCCGGACCCCCTGCCCCGCTCTGAGGACAGGAAAGGTGTCCAGCTCAGCCCTGCCGGGGCTCCTTCACCTTCCTCAGCAGACAGAGCAGGTGGGAGCGGGGGCCACCGGACCCGGGGCACATCCCCCTGTGGCTTTCTGGCCTTGGGGCTGCGGGGCCTGGACCCCCTGAGGGAGGCAGAGCCGGGGTGGTTTGCACAAGAGCCCGACGTGTTTGCTGAACCAAACGGGACCAGGGCGCTCGGTGCTGGCGTGTCCTAGGTGGGTGTGGAGGGCCCGGAACGGCAGACCTTCCCGGACTCTCCTCCCAGCCTCTCTGCCCTGAGTGGGGATGGTCCATCCCGAGGCCGAGGCACAGGGTGGGGCCGGGGAGGGAGTGGGAGGCGAGCCCTTCCCGGTCCCGGGGCTGGAGGCAGGGGCGCCCTGGCGAGCCAGCCCCAGGGCTGAGGGGCCCACGCGGCCGGCGGAGGGGGCGGGCTCTGCCCCACGCCTGCTGCCGGGCGCCCCGCCTGCTCCCGTTCTCAACGCTGGGTGCTGGGTACGTGACAGGGTCCTGTGGCTAAAAGGAGTTTAGAAACGGGTGTGGAGGCAGCTCCCGTGCTGCGGGGCTGGGGGACCGCCTTCCAGGCGGAAGGGTCCAGCCCCCTTTCCAGCACCTGCCTTCCTGGGCCACCTGTTTTCAGGAAGAGCTTGGGGAGGGAGGCACGGAGCCGCTTTGGGCTTCCAAGTGGGCCGTGGCCCCTGCTCTGGCCGAGGAAAGGTTTTCCCTGTTCTCGTCTCCGCCCCCCCGGTTGTGAAGGCCGCACCCAGGTTCAGTGGAGGCGGGCGCTCTGAGTGGGTCTCGTGTCTCCCTGGGGCTGGAGGAGGGTCCCTCTGCCCCAACACAGCTTGTGCTTCTGCGAGCGGGGGAGGGAGAGGCCGAGACCACGTGGGGAATTCCGTGGTGGGCTCCGGAACGTGGCAAGGAGGCGAGAGAGCGGCCTGTGCCCCGCCTCAGGCTGTGGCGTGGTCCCCACCGCGTGGCGGACGAAGCGGTTCTGCCGGAGGACGGGGCGGCGGGGCGAGCCGCCGAGAGGAGCCCGGCAGGGAGGTCCTGGGCCCCTTCCGCCCTCAGCGGGGCCGGGCGGTGGACGTGCCCGCCCCGGCCCAGCACCCTGCGGCTCGCTCTTGCCGAGGACAGTGCAGCTTTGCATCTGATGGTGCGGCCACGGGGCCCCTCTGTCTGGGCCACCCACACCCTGGTTCCTTCCCGGCGCTGCCGCCTGCTGCGAGTCACTGAACCCCGGGGGCCTCCGGCTGTCCCTTTGTCCACGGAGAGAAGGGGGTGCTTGGAGCGTTAAATGAGGTCACAGGTCGGCGTGCAGCCCGGGGCCTGTCTTGCGGGCGGCTCACGCGTAGTGGCTGTTCCCGTCACGCCTCCTGCTGGGTGTTCAGTGCAGAAGGGGCTCCTGGGGTCCTCCCCGCGGGAGGGACATGGAGCCCGGGGTGGGCGCAGCTCGCCAGGGAAAGGACTCCGGCCGGAGGAGGCGGGGCCTGGGCTGCCGGGCACCGGTCTGGGTCAAGGCCTGGCCGTCCTGGGGGCTGGGGTCCAACCAGCTGTGAGTGCTGGGGATGGGGCGGGGGCGTGGGCACTGGGGTCAGGAAGGTGGAAGGTAAGGCTGAAGCCCTGGATTGTGGGAGGGGGCAGGCGAGGGGGCACTGGGAGATCCTGCGGGGCCACGGACGACGCCATGGGGCACGGAGGAACTGGGGGCCCCAGGAGATCCCTGCGGGTCCTGACCCCCAGTGCCTCACGCCCGCCTCTGCACCCCAGCTGAGCGCCCCTCCTTGTTGCCAGCACCTTTCAGGGGCGCCGACCTCGACCTCGACCTCGCCCACCTTGGCTCCAGGGAGGACCAGGCCGTCTCTCTACCTCCAGCCGCCACCCTTTGCCCCGACCCCCAGTCCAAGGAGGGGGCTGCAGGGGTCCCCGCCCAAGCAAAGCTGGGGGGGCCAGGCTTCAGGGACAAAGAGCTGTCCGCTCCTGGGGACACCCTCCCTGGGGGGCACCTGCCTGGAGCCCGTCTGGGGGAGAGGGAGCCCCAGCTCCGGGACGTGCCCGTCTGACGGTGACGAGGCCCCTCGCTGCAGCCTGTCCCATGTCCACACGCGGTGGAGGGATGGCCGCACGGGCAGGGCTGCGGGCTGAGCTTGGGCAGGAGCGTCTGAGCCCCTCCTTCGGCCCCGGGGGGGCAGACGAGCCGTCCAAGGCGCTGCTTGGGGAGGACCGGAGCGCACCCGCCTGCCGGGCCCCCGGCCTTCAGGTGCGGGGCCGAGGTGGGCGGGCACCCCTGCACGCGCCCAGCTCACCGCCTGCTGGGGCTCCAGGCCCCTCAGGTCAGTGTGTCAACGCGCCTGGCGTGGAAGGTGGGATGGAGTCTGTGTGCAGATTCTGGGCAGTTTCGCTCTCTCGTCGCTGCCTGGTGCCCAGCGAGGCGGAGGCAGGGGCCGGGACCGCAGGCCGGGAATGCAGGCCCCGGCCGCGGCAGGGCGGGCTCACCTGGCCAGGTAGGGCCCCCGTGCCCCAGGCTCCTCATCTGTAAAGGCGCCGAGGCTGTGGTGTCGTCGCGTGTGAAGAGCCTGGCAGAGGGCCCGGCCCGGGGACGTCCATCCTGGAGCTCGTCCGGGAGGGGAGGCCCTGGGGGAGCCCTGGTCTGTGAAGGGCGTGGAGCTGGGGTGGGGGGGGGCCTGGGCGACAGAGGGCCTACTGTGGGGCCGCAGGCGGCTATGGCTTCCTCCCGGCTGCTGGGGGGAGGGAAGCCGAGGGCAAGGACCCCAGCCTGCGCCCGCGCCCCCGTGAAGAGGCAGAGGAGCTCGGGGAGGAGGGTGTGTCCAGGGGGTTGAAGTGCTCCGCGGCTGCCTTCCCTTCCTGACTCCTTCGACGGCCTGAGCTGCAGCCCCCCGCCCCCGCCCCCGCCCCCCAGCCTGGGGACCCGGGCGTCGAACCCTCCGTCCCGCCGTCGCAGGGCTCCCAGACTTTTCTGGACCTCAGCGTGCACGCGTTTTGTCGGGAACCGAGAGCGTGGGAGAGGCGGGAGGGGCGGGAGAGGCCACCTCCGAGCTGGCGGGGCAGGAGACAGGAAGCCCCCAGGGAGGGAGCCGCTGGGGCAGCGCCCAGACCAGGGCAGGGCGAGGAAGGCAGGGAGGGGCCGCGCCCGAGAGCGCGTCCTCTGGGGGCCTGTGTGCCCGCCATGGAGGGCAGCCCTGGGGGGTGGCTGGAGGGGGGGAGTGGGGGGCGCGCCAGCACCCTAGTTCAAAGGAAAGGCAGGAAACAGCCGTAGGCAAGAGAAAAAGGAAATGTCTGGGCTCTGGCAGGGACGGCTCGGGGTGCGGCCGGGCGGGCGGCGGGCGGGGAGCAGAAGGCCTGGCTCGGAGCAGAGTGGGCCCCGGCCCGCACCCCACCCGCCTGCCCGGTCCGTGGGCGCGCATCCCCGGTGGCCCCCCACGCGCTGAGCGCCTGCCCTCCCTGACCCCTGCCCACCAGGCACGGACGGAAGGCGGCCACGCGGAGGTGCCGGCGGGGAGGCTACGCCGGGTTACGTGCTGGGCGACGTGGGAGAGTCAGCCCACCCCCCACCCCCACCCCCACCCAAGCCTTTTGTCCTTGTCCTGAAATGGGGACCTGGAGGGGCGGTGGGGAGGGGCCAGTGCCACCCGGACAGCGGAGCGGGTGCCTTCCCCATCACCCCCGTCTTCAGGCGCCGACGGCCAGTGTTCGTCCTGCGCCCCTCGACCACACAGGAGCAGCGAGGCCCCGCCATGACGGGGGGGGGGGCGCGGCTGCTGGGGTCCAACCCAGACGCCCTCAGAGCGCCCGCCCACCGCCCCTCCCTGTCACTCCCGAGCCCACCCCCCTGGCCTCCCGGGATGGGAGCCCCTCCCGGGAGGCGCTGCCCGGGCCCCGGGCCTGCGGCGGAGGACGGGCCCTTCTCGCGGGCTCGCGGGCCGGCCTGGCACCCGCCCGATGGGACGCCCTTCGCAGAGGACGGGTCTGGGCCTCTGGGTCCCTGCTGCCTGGCGCGTCCCCAGAGGCCGGCTCCCCGGGTTCTGTGGCGTCCGAGCCGTCTCCGGCGGCCCCAGGACAGGCCACACAGCTGGGCGCTTGTACTTGGGGTCCACGGCGGCCCTGGGGTGGGCCCTGAGGGGCCAGCGAGGGTCCCCTCGGAGCCCATCCCCGGGGCTGTGACCCCGGGCTAGCAACTCACTCCCCTGGGGACCGGGCCA